CCTTTTTAAAAAAAAAAAAAAAAAAATCAGAAATATACTATATACAAAGTGTTGAGGTGTCAAGAGTATATATTTATTATCATCAGGATTAATTTAAAACACTAACCAAAGCACAGAAGTTGATTTCCAGGAAAAGAGTCAATCACTTTATTAGTGGTAGTCAATGCATTTGGGGCTATTTTACAATGCTCTGGACATACTTCAGGACAAAAATTTAAGGGAGATGAATAGATTGTACAGAGGAAAGAAAAAAGAAGTGTTCATATGCAAATTCTTTTACAGAGTAGATTAATATTTAGCATTTCAACATTCTGTCAATCAAGCAAGATAAAAAACCCTCCAAATGGAAATGATAAAGGAGAAGTAAGCCCTTCACTACCCACAGAGGAATGTTATCACTTGGTTCCACCAACAAACAGAAAAATTTCGTATGCCAGAGGTCACCCAAGAAAAGCAGATACCAGACTCTGAAGAGCTGCCTGATCCTTCAGTCCAGAAATTAATGAAATTTTGTCAGCCCCAGTATGTCGAGAGCCATACAGAAGGAGATGCCATAGATATGCAAATGATCTTATCTCAGACCCAAAAAACATTTCTCTAATTGTGCTGAAGTAGTAATAAAGGGCATCAGTAGGATTTGGAGCTAATCCCACTTACAAAGACCCTGAAGAACATTCTTACTCTCTTAGTAGCAGACCCTTCCAACTCCATCCCCTCCACCCCAGCTAAACCATAAGCAATGAGAGTTATCCTCGTGTTTTGCCTTCTCCCATTCATTCCAAAGGCTCTAGCATCACCGTAACATCACCGACCTTACACTATAGTCTGGCTCCCTAGATTCTCCACAAACACACTCTGCCACTGATAAATAATTATGGTGCTAAAGTAGGATATGGTCCTAAAAAGCTGACGTGCTGCACTCATGGCCTTTTTAACTTCACCTGCAAAAACATACCAGGAACACAGAGCCAGCATGCTCAGCATCAACCTGTGAACTGGAAGTTGACAGTACAGAGGTTTTTGCACAAGATAAGAATAAGGGAATAACCTGTGAAAATTAATGTCTGGCTGTATTCATTAGCTTTATTGTTAAGCAATTTTATTATCATGATAAAAACAGTTCACCTTTTTTTCTTGAAAAAGCTGACAGAGGCTCTTTTCTGCCTTCCACATGCCCAAATGTTATCCTTTTAGATTAGCTATCAAAGTAACTAAGCCACAAAAGCATATCCTGAGAATTCTTCAGCATCAACTTCTGCAACAGCATTTTAAAAAATAGATTTCACAAACACTACCAGATAGCTAGCCCAGAGACCTTGAAAATACTGTTCTGTTCATGAGCAGATACCCTGAAATAACATGAAAACTCACAGGCCAAATGGCTCTGAGAAATGCTGGCAACGTGGCCCGGAATGCTAGGATTCTGCACAGCACAATGTTGCTATAAAAGCTGTCATTCTGGACTTAGCTTTCCAAGAAGCAAATCACAAAAACTATTTTGTTTCCTTGAGTTTTTGTTCCAGTAAAAAAAGGTCTCTTTTTTGAGCATGTCAATTTTTTGAGAAATCAATCATTACCTTAAAAATTATGGAAGACATGGATGGTGAACGAAAAGAAGCCATTAAATGTTGGCATAACTTATATTTCTGCAAGACGATGGTCTTTCCAGGGCCTTGTAAAAGTTAGTATACTTTTGTTTGATCAAATTCCCCCATGTCACCATTTTCCACGAAGCTCTGAGAGTACACCTCTGACTGCTCTCGTAGATACTGAGATACATAGAAGTGACTACACAGGTATATATGGCACCTCTGCTCTCTCCCACAATGCTAAATATTTAATAACTGTTTTGGGTTGGGTTTGGGTTTTTTTTGGTTTTCTTGTTTGTTTTTTTAACTAAACTCAGAATTCCTGCTCCCTCCTGCTCTCTTGGAAAAAAAATATTTTCTGTTAACCTGATCAGCAAATATGCAATGAGTAGGTATGATCTTACTTGTGATGTATCTCTGAGGAGAATACTATCTATCTGGTAGCCTTCATCTCTTAAATTTTTAGCAAAGCAGGCAGTGCATCTGGGTATCAAATGTTGCCTGTTAAAATGATGTCATTCATCTCATCCTCTACAAAACCCACAAGTCATTAATTTTTATGATTTTTCAAAAGCGGTCACTTAAAAATGAGCATACATTTGTTGATGTAAAATGCCCCATCAAGTAGCTCAATGGAAAAGAGTGGAAGACAGAAGTGTAAAACAGCAGAGTGAAGCATTAATATTCATTAAGCTAGCTTCCATATTTTCTCATTTTTAATCATTACATGGGTCTTAAGTAAATATATTTTATATTTAGTCTAGTTTCACTCCTTCTCTAGCTCCTAGTTATTTAAGTTAAAGTAGTGACTTAATGCAAGCAAATTTCCAGTGTTTCCACCTTAAACCAAATTATTATAAATTACCAAATTCTAGAAAAGTGTTTTTATGATGTCAAACCATAATATAACTGTTAAATAGCACATAAATTGGCAATCCTTCCTGAAACTGATGAGAGTATCGTTTGAACATTTTAGTGTCACATTTAAGCAGAATTCCTCAGCTCCCATTCAAATGTGTTCCTCTGTGTAAGATTATGCCATGTATTATCTTTGATAGACAGATGTGTATCTGCAAAAGGTCTGGGCAACTCTAAGGTTTTACAGGAAAAAAAATGAAGGGGAAAAAAAAGAAACTATATAATTCATCTTATTATCATTAACTCTTCTGCCAAAAAAACCTGCAAGAGTTACCTGAGTATTTTTAGCACCACTGAGACAGATGTCACAACCTGGATAAATGCCAAAATGCACCTGCTTGAGAAAAGGATTCTGGACAGTGGATGTAAACTCACACTCAACAGAAAAGTACAAAAGCTGAGCAAGCATCAGAGAAAACATTCTGACTGCAGCTCATACTGCAGAATGGAGTATTCTCGAGTAACCTGCACAAATTGCCTTCACGTGAATAAAATAGTGCATCTACCCCCAGCGACCCAAACTCAGAAAATAGACTAGAGCGAAAGAAAAGGGTGAATATGTAAAACATAACTTGCAGCTCAAGAAATTCTAGTGGGAAGCAAACGCTACAGTCGGATAGGAATATTTGACACTAGGGAGAAGCGTGTTTGAGCACAAAGGAAACACAGGCTCCAGGGGGTGAAAAGACCAGCAGCGGCTCTGCCGTTCGGCCAGGCTCTGCAGCATGGGCCTCCCCGCGCCCCGCGCAGCTGCAGGAGCCCGGCCCGCGGCAGGAGCGGTGCCTGAGAGAGCAAAAGCGACAACGTTTAGGTCATAGGCAGTTGTATATCACTGTCCTGACATGATGTTTTAAATCACAACACTGCATTTTCAAACTGGAACACAGAGTCATGAAACAACCAAAACCAGATGTACCCTGTGAAATACTATATAAATGAGGTCAGCAAGCACTTGACAGAATAAAGAAAAGAAACATTTATGTAGAAGGATTATTCGAGCATGCCACTTCTATAGGTTGCTAAACAGGAACCCATCTAGGGTAAGTGTCTCTACCTCACCGGGAGTTTCACAGATAAATAAGTTGGCCTATGTTAGCTACCAGCACAAATCACACAGAATGACTAAGTTTCAGTCTCAAACATCTGCTTCAAAACTCTGAACAGCTGGCTGCCTGGCCGGGGTAGAAAGGACCTTGTGTCCCATATATCCCATTCTGATAGATGCTGCTGCACTCAGCTTAAGAGTTAATTAGCGCAACTCCCTCAGAAATGCTGCTGAGTATATACATACATAAGGAAGAAAAACAATCTTTGAAAGCTCCCACACCCCAGGGCTTCTATTCAGCTGGTTACAAGTCAGGCAATCGTCACTCGCTTCCCACCTTTGCCATGCAATCAGACTCCAATGAATTCTAAGTCACTGGGAATTTTATTTTCTTAACCCCAACCTCAGCCCTAACCACCCTGTGCAGTTTTCTTACTGATACGAGTCTCTGGAGACTAGAGGCCAGGCACTCACTCTGGGGCTTCCAGCTATTGACTCTCTTTTCACCAGCTATCTGAAAATACTGCCATCCAAAACCTCACCCATCGTTCTGCCTACATCGCTTTATTCCTCCGATGCCTTTGCCAGCTCCCTTTCTGCTTCAACATTGAGGTTAAGCTCCTTGTCTTCACCTTCCAAGCTCTACACAGTTGTACTTGCATTCACATCTCCCAGCCCTACCTCCTAGCCCCTATGCCCACTGATTCCTTTAATCTTGGTCATCAGTATGACTCTTTCTACCTGCCCTGGTCCTGCCTTTTCATGCCGCTCTCCACGACACCCAGCAGCCAGCACATAAGAGCCAAAGCTACAGAATGCAAGCAGAGTGTGTATTTTAGCAACACACATTTGGACTAACATGGTGTTAAATACAGTTTTGCTTTTGGTGTAAGTAGAGACAGCTACATCCATAGAAGTATTGGATATATCAAAGGGTAACCTTTGATATAGGTAGGTTATCATGGTAACAAGCACATTTTTAAAGTTTGGACCCCCACTACTCCTTGTATTACATCACAGTCAATATTGTGTTAATTAACATTTTTCTAAAAGGTGTGGCTCTTCTCAAGTAGAAACAAGTTGCTTTACCTCTCCTCCTCTTTCAAACATCTCATTAAAATCCTTTGATTTAGCCTTAAGATACTCAATTTTCCACATTTTTGGCAGAAAATATGCACACGTTTCCTGGTTTAGTGAAGTTCTTATCAAGGTACCGTATCCACCACTTTCCCCAAGTAAAACACATGTAAAATGACAAATCGTCAGCTAGGAAAACTTTACTCCCTATTTTTAA